TATATTCCTGAAAGTGACAACACAAAGGGATAAGGTGGTAAAGAAGGCGTACGGCATGCTTGCCTTTATTGCTCAGGGCACTGAGAGTAGAAGTTGGCAAGTCATGTTGCAGCTGTATAAAAAAACTTTAGTTAGGCCACAGTGGGAGTACTGTGTGCAGTTTGATTGCCACACCACACAAAGAATGTGGAGGCTTTGGAGAGGATACAAAAGAGACTTTTGTTGTCTGGATTAGCTGTAAGGAGAGGTTGAACAAATTTGGATTGCTTTTGCTAAAGTGACATCAGCTAAGAGGCAACCTGATTGAGGTATATAAAGTTATGAGAGGCACGGATAGGGTGGACAGTCGGAGTCTTTGTCCCCACGTGGAAATATCAAATACTAGAGGGTATTTACGTTTAAGCTGAGAGGCGGAAAGTTTTACGGAGATGTGTGAGCCATGTTTTTTCTTACACAAAGGATGGCAGGTGTCTGGAATGTACTGCCAGGGGAGGTGGTAGGTGCAAATATGACAGCAACATTTAAAGGGCATTTAGACAATCACATGAACAGGCAGGGAACAGAGGGATCCAAAGCATGTGCAGGTAGATGGGATTAGTTTAGAATGGTAACATGGTCGGCGTAAACATGGTGTGTTAAAGGGCAAGGTTCTGTGCCATACTGTTCTATGATCTTCACCTTGATGCCATTTTCCCCAATTCATCTCCAAGAGAATGGGGAAGGTCAAATTCACTTGCAAGTAAATAGTTTAAAAATTGCCATATACTTCCAAGGCTGCATTATCTTGATTTACAAAAAGGGCGTTTGATTCATGTGCTGTGAAGGAGAAATTGCTATAACTGTGTGGCAGGGAACAGAAAAGAAGTGATATTTGACCAGAAACATCAATGGCATACCTCTTCAGTGATGGAATCCAAAGATGATGTAGCTTCATCATACAAGATAATGCGGGGCTTTTTTAGAATTGCTCGAGCAATTGCAAGTCTCTGCTTTTCTCCTCCTGAAAGAGACATCAGTTTACATTGACCTCAGGCTATGAATGACAAAAGGTCCATTTAAAATGCTTCAGTTCTTCTACAAACATAGTACTTAAGGGTAAAGGGAAAAGAAAAAAATGACTAAAAAGTTAAAAGACTATGAAATGTCATTATATTCCCCATTGGTTTCATATAATGCCACATTGTAATGTGAAGGTTAAACTATTTCGCAAAATAATTTACTATTTGGATCAGTTACAATCAACATGGTTTTTTGCCACATAGGGGATTCTGTGACATTCCTCAATGAGACTGGAGTTAGAAAGGAATTAGGAGGATGTAGTGTTTTCTAAGAACAGCCATCTCTTGCATATTACAGGAAAACCAGCATTTTGCATCAGGACAGCTATACAATGTAAATAGTTAGAGCTTCAAATGTAGTGTGCTCCTCCATTAAAATGGCAGATTACAGATACACCATCTGAAAGAACCAGGCAAGTTACATCACAAGTCATGCAAATATACAAGTCAACAACCTGAAACGTTAAGAGATAGTAGGAACTGCAGATGCTGGAGAATCTGAGATAACAAGGTGTAGAGCTGGATGAACACAGCAGGCCAAGCAGCATCATTTTCTGATGAAGGGTCTAGGCCAAACGTCAGCCTTCCTGCTCCTATGATGCTGCTTGGCCTGCTGTGTTCATCCAGCTCTACATCTTGTTATCTTAACCTGAAACGTTAAGCGTGTTTCTCTCTCCACAGATCCTGCCAGAGATGCTGAAAATTTAGAGCATTTACTTTTTATTTCAGTTTGTAGCATCCATAGTATTTTGCTTTTGAATAAAGGTTACTCTTCAGTGGTTTAGCTGCAAGTCCAAATGCTGAATTAAGCAAACAAACAAAACACTAATCCCTATTATTTTCAAGTGAGAGTGTTGCTTTGTGAAAATATGGAATGTTCAGGGGGAGGAAATAGCAAGCAATAAAAGATCAAGGGAGGCTGGAGGAAAATATCTTCCTTTCCTTGTTGCCGGTTTTAAAATTTTATAATATGATCTAATATCCGGGAATTGATACCCCAGGTGAATTATATAATTCAAGGAAAAATGTTCAACTCAAGACTGCATTCAAATACCAAGGAACATGAAATGATTATCTCTAAAAACACTTTTCTCATTGATCAAAGAAAAACAAAAATTGCATTTTCAATACTCTGCCTGGGCTCAATGTGCTCTTGCAAGCAGAGTAATGCCAATGCAATTAATTGTTATTTCAGGGCCCTGCTGCATCAGTGTAACAGAAAATAAATATCACAGCCTCCAGTTTTTAAACAGACAAGCAAATACAGATGGAAAAACATCACATTTATCCCTTATTGTGTTTACTTCTGCCTAACAATTGTAAATGCAAGGTGCATAATTTATCTACATTTTAATACCGTTTATTTTAGAGGTTAGACGTGAGCCAGTGTCATGAGGGGTTTAGTGTGTTTGAAGGGGTTTAGGGATCAACTTGTAGGTGTTGTTGTAGCCATGGTGATTTTATAACATTAATCCTAAATCAACTTTTTCTCTTGAAGGTGAGAAGTAATTTGTTTGCATTGAAAAAAGTTTTTACAAGGAAACAAAGTAAACAATTGTGCATTAATTTGGAAGGTCAGAGATTGCTTTTGTCCTCCTTCCAGTTAGGGGGAACATGCATGTCTTGCAAAAGAAAGTTTTTAGGTTTCAGTTGGGCAGTTTGCAGAAGTCTCGGCTGAAGCTGGACGGATGGGTAAAGGGAAAGAGACGTTTAGTTTAGAATTGTAACAATATAAGTTATCAGTGTAACGAGTTAAGTTTTAAAGTTCCAGATTGGAAGTGTTTGGTTAAAACCCTAATCGGTTATTTAAAGCTGAGAAATTCTAAACTCAATTGTACGGAGACTCAAAACAGGGGTCATCATATTTTTAAGACTGAGAATTGAAGCCACAATTAAACTAAGCCCAAAAGATCAAATAGAATAGTGAATTCTCTAGTGTGCACACTGTAAAGGAGTGCTTTTGAGATTATTGGGATTATATTTTAATATGGATTTCAAATATGCCATATATATTTTAAATTTATCACATCTTCATTTCTTTTGCATAATAAACTAGTTTTATTGTCAAAACTAATTTGTAGCATTGTATACATGTTTCAGTGAAAGATCACCTCACAAACAAAAATAAAATGATCTATCAAGCCACATTTCACTTTGGTATATGACTTGTCTCTAAACACACCAACTGGGATCATAACATTGCTCATCACAGAACTCTCCAACCTACTCAATTTCCACTTTTTGTACAGTTTTCACGAGTTACATAGAAACATGGAAATGGAGTCAAGTTTCTAGTACTCAAGTACAGACTTAAAAAAAGTAATGTTTAAGGTAAAATAGTGATTTGTTTTAGATACACATACACAAAAATACTTGAGCCAGTATTGCTGAAAAAAGTTATTTTGTCAAAGTTGCTCATCTTGTATTCATCAGGACAATTTGCAAAAACGCTAATGTAAAGGGAAAGCAACATTTATTGTGTACAAGAGACTGATTGGTTATTAGTTGGCAAGTGGATTTTGATTGGTAAAGGCATCGTCATGGAGAATTCACCAGTTAATGCCTAAAATTTAAACTAGACATGTTGACGCTGGCTGACCAAGGTATTAGTCTGTGATGAGAACCAGAGAATGGCAGTACCCTATTCTGCTGAGTAAATATCTGTTATTTGTGTTTGCAAAGATCAGGGGCCTATGCATTAATATATACGGTGTCCATTACATGGACTTGTGCCACACTGCACGCTGAAGTGAGAACCCCAAAGTGACGGTCGCATAATCTCTCTCTCCCACATACACACACGATTATCCAGCAAGTGTTGCCAATCGCAGAATCACATCCAAGTTAACACTCATTGTTTAGAAACTTCCAAGCATGGGCTGGTTAGGTATGATCCATATCTTACTCGCTACAAACAGACAAAGTAACAGGTGATTGGATACAATATGCCAGTCATTGGAGCATACAGCCTACGTACGGAGTATTATGCCAGCATTGAAATTCCGGTACCACATTATTTCGTTAGTTTAACAAACAAAAGGTCTTTCTGGTTTGACGGCAGCATCCTGTTTGTGGTCAATATCACTTTAGGATGGTCGGTTGGACTCAATAGTATGACAACCTTCTGTGTACTGGAAACTACATATATTAATACATAGGGCTCTGTTCTTTGTTTCAAATCTCATATGGTCAGCACTCCAAGGAGGATAAAGAAAATGCTTCAAAGACAGTCTGAAACTCTCCTTGAATCAGAGCAGCATTGACCTTAATGGCTGAGAGGAATTTGCTATCAATCGCTCATAATGATGACAAATTGCAATTCAAAGCATGATTTAGCTTCACGGACAAAGTCTTAATGATGGAAGCAGAGCAACAGCAGAGATAGAAACAAAAGCCAAAGACTGTAGCTTTAGATTTGGCCTGTTCAATCACAAAGATGTCTGGCAAAATCTCTTTACCCTGGCTAGTTATCGTCAGATCAAGGGGCAGTTGCGTTGCAGAATAAAAATTGGCATGGCCCTGATGGAAGGTGTGTCAGAATTCAAACCCCACTACTCCACGAACCATCACAATGTGAAATATAATCAATTTAATCACTACGATGGTTAATCCCTACTGTTATCCAGTATCAAAGATAAAAGAAGCTTATACCAGCTTTCATCACAAAAAAATTATAAAAATCTTATTGTTTAACATGTGACAAAGATGGATTACTAATATGCAAACAAACTACACCCCCTTTAAATCCAAACTCATTCACAAAAAGATCAGAAAGTATAAATAGCTCTCTTTAGGAATGTTATTGATAAAAAAGTCCCAACAAAAAGGTTGACTTTCTCAGGTCTTTGTCAAGATTTTGGCGATGATAATCATATTGTTACTGACCATGGCAATAGTCAATTCAATAGCTGGTCATTCACACTTACGTCTTGGCTTGAGCTAAAAGATTTTGTACGATTGTTACGTCTTGTCCACTCAGAGGGTTGAAGCAACCACGAGGACGAGTTTTCAATCTAAAAGCACGTAGCACCAAGTAATCTCTCAAAACTATCAAATCCACCTTTCAAAAAATTTACATGCTCTCCTGAAACTAATAAGTAACCACAGTTCAACTTTTCCTTCAAGTTGTAATAAAAACAAAACAACTGATCCTTTTAACTTTGGCTGCTGGTAAGAGTTTTAAGAGTCCATTATTAAGGATGAGTGTGCAAAATACTTGGAAGTGCATGGTAAAACAGGACCGAGTCAGCATGACTTCATCAAAGCGAGGTCATGCCTAACGAATCTGCTCGGATTCTTTGAGGAGGTAACAAGCAAGTTAGATAAAGAACAGTCAGAGTAGATGTGATCTATTTGGATTTTCAGAAGACCTTGGAGAAGGAGCCACATAGGAAACTGCTAATTAAGAGCCCGTAATACGAGGGGCAAGATACTGCCATGGATTGAGAATTGGCTGACTAAGAGAGTGTGGAGATAAAGGGGTCTTTTTCAGGGTGGCAGGCTAGTGACCAGAAATTCTGCAGGAGGCAGTATTAGCACCACAACTGTTCATGTTATACATTAACGATCTGGACGAAGGAATGGAGGGTATTGTTGTAAAGTTTGCAAAAGTTAGTTGGAGGGACAGGACGTGTTGAGGAAGCAGAAGGACTTGGGCAGGCTAGGAGAGTGGGCAAAGAAGTAGCAAATGGAAGGTGGGAAAGTGAGAGGTTATACACTTTGGTGGGAAGAATAGAAGCGTACACTATTTTCTGAATGCGGAAAGGCTTTGGAAATCTGGGGCAGAAAGGGACTCGGGAGTCTCGGCTCAGGATTATCATAAGAATTAACATACAGGCTCAGCTGGCAGTTAGGAAGGCAAATGCAATGTTCAGGTGAGCTGTGGAAGGGATACAGGGGAGATTTAAGAGAATGATCCTTCAGGAATGAAGGGTATGTCAAACGAGGAGTGGTTGACGACTCGGGGTCTATACTTGGAGTTCAGAAGGATGAGGGGGGATTTGATTGAAACTTACAAAATACTGAGAGGCCTGGATAGATTGGATGTGGAGAAGGTATTTCCACTCGTAGGAGAGACTAGGACCCAAGAGCACTGCCTCAACGTGAAGGGATGACCCTTTAGAACTGAGATGAGAGAAAACGTCTTCAGCCAAAGGGTGGTGAATCCGTGGAATTCCCTGCCGCAGAAGACTGGGAAGGCCAAGACATGAAATCTATAGAAATAGATACGTTCTTGATTGGTAAGGGCATCAAGGATTATGGGGAGAAGGCAGCAGAATGGGGTTGAGAAACATATCAGCCATGATCAAATAGTGGAGGAGATTCGATGGGCTGAATGGCCTTTGTTCTTGTACCATATGATCTTATGGGTTTTTTTGCTGAGAAACATATTTTCAAGTTTATATATCAAGTAAATACCCATAATCCTTACAAAAGAACAGTACATCATTCTACATTTGATAGAGAGAATATGCAGAACTGTACTTTCCCTGCTTTCTTCTAAAGCATTCTCAAAAAAGCAAAAGATAGTAATCACATTTTCAGAGTTTATTTAAAATACTATATGACTGACTACCAGTTATTTAAACAGAAATATATTGTTCAAGTCTACCACTGAACAGCAATTTACACTGATGCAGTTAATGATTAAGCTTAACTTAATTTATTTGAGCAAATTACCCACTACTCCTCCTACGTTAAATGGTATGTCACTACTTTCATTATTTTTCGGTCCCTTCAATATCTCTATCCTGATAGGATACTTTAGATTCAGATATTATTCCAAGGCAAGTGTCAATTTCACACATTTTGAATGTGCGTGTTGTTTTAGGGCTACATATGTTTATTCAGTACAACATACAAACAACAACCAAATTTATTGTTGGTGACAGGTTTATTTATAGATGTTTGGACAGGAATGCTTATCGAACAGTTATGGATCTTCTGTGTGAAGAAACTACTGTCTGTTTTGACAGTAGAAACATGTATCCCAATTGACTAAGTTTCTTAACCACTTGATGTTAGAGGCAAAATTTAGGAATTGCTTCAGTAAGCTTTGCAAAGTTACTGAAATGATTGACCGAATTTCAAAACAAAGCCAAGTTACTAAATTGTATTTTTATTTCCTGTTAGAATGGAATGTGTGTTACATTAGACACTAATATACTAAGTACAAAAGATACCCACAATTAAAAAAAGCTTAACAAGTGTAGCTACGAGTTCTGCAAATATTGAAATTAGTTTATAAAAAATAAAAACAAAACAAACAATCTTGAATTCTGAAACCACCGAACTGCCAAAAACATATTTGTATCTCCTCCCCTGCAAAAAATTCTGGGTCTTTATAAGTTAAAAGCTTGCTGATTTTGATGGATTGAATGAGTTTATTAACAATTTCCACAGTACAGTTTATCTAAAATATTAAGATAAAAACATATGCATTTTGGCCTTACCTCATATTACTTACTCTGGGTTTGGGAAGGGTAGAAAGAATTAGAAAGAGTCAGAAAACTAGAGGAGGAAACCGTGAAAGAAGTCTAAGTTCCTTCCAATTCATCAGTCATGATATAGTTTCCCAAAATATTTGTTTCGTTACTAAATGGTACATTTCTTAACCTATTAAATAATTTCACTTACAAACAAACATCATCTCTAAAATCCAAACCGGAAGAAAAGTGACAATATGGATACATGAACACCAAGTAGCCACAAAGAGAAAAGACCAATTCTCACTTGTTTCACTATACACAGACAATGAGGGACATGAATTCGACTGGGATAACACACCCATAATCACACAATCCAAACAGAGACACGCCAGGGAATACCTGGAGGCCTGGTATTCCAACCGAAACTCCATCAAACACAATGAATTAGACTGAACCTCCCCAGCACACCGAAGTGCATAAATAACAACAGGACAGACCATCAACGCTTCACTGGAGGCACACTGACGATGTTACCTAGCAGGGTGACGAAACATTTGCAACCAAACCCAGTGGCTTGGCGAGCAGGTCTACAACCTCAAACCTAAAATCCTTTGTGGGAGCATTTCCGACTAACATATCTAATCAAAAATGAAAACTCTTGATACTTCTGGATGCAGTTAGGCATTTTTAAATCGCAGCATCAGCCAGCAATATGGATGTGACTAGCAAAATTTGTGACTAGCAAAAGGCCTCCAGGAATTCCCTGGTGTGTCTGTTTGGATTGTGTGATTATGGGTGTGTTATCCCAGTCGAATTCATGTCCCTCATTGTCCGTGTGTAGTGAGACAAGAGAGAATTGGTCTTTTCTCTTTGTGGCTACTTGGTGTTCATGTATCCATATTGTCACTTTTCTAACATATTATGTAAGTGGTTTTGGCTTCAGCGATGCAAAAATGATAACTCCACTCTAAGGTAAGGTCTCAATTCATTCTACACTGCAATGTTTCAAGATTTGGAGAGCTAATCTCAACCATGCAAATGAAGCGGATTAAGAACCTGCCTTAGGGTTCTGCTGCATCACAAGCTGAGCAGAGAACAGTAGCTTCACAGGGTGATTCAAAGCTGGCAATATCTATATTGCTTATTGCCATTGCTGTGCACACATTCAGTTCAACACAGTTGACAAACATTCAAAGTGACTTGATTCCTGGTACTCAATCCTACTACTTACTTACTATTTTTCCTACTATTTATTCTTTTATTAACACTTCCTTCTAACCATTTATTCTTTTATGGCACTCTTTGTGAGTGATGGTGACTAGTGCGTCTGATGGCAGCTGGATTTAATCATTTGTCTATTAATATAGTTCCCAAAGTAGTACTATTTCCACATACACACAATAGATAATTCAAATTGTCACCTTGGTAGGAAGCCCCATCTGCTGGTCTGGAGTTTAGAATGTATCTCAAAAAATTATCAAGGCACTGTTCCAAATATTAACGAAGCTATTTAGAATGGGGGATAAGGTTAGTACCTCCGATCACAATTTCCAGTCTTCCTTGAACTCACCTGAAAGTTTTAATCCACGTTCACCAACCTGAGTGTCATAACCATTTGGCATTCTGAGTATAGAGTCATGAAGGCCAGCAAGCTTTGCAACATTGTATACTTCTTCTGGCGTTGAACTAATGTTCCCATATTGAAGGTTATAAAAGATGGTGTTGTGGAATAGGACTGCATCCTAGAAGTCAAAAAACAAAAAGCAATAGCAACTGCAAAACTAATGAATGATGACTGATTATATTAATTTCATATGCAAAACCATAACACATTAAAACACCTAACCGCTGCATACACAAATTAAGCTGCTTTACATTTTCCAGTGCAGTAATCATTGTCTGACCTCAAAGACACACCATACATAGAATTTCACCACTGCTTGGAATAAAAATGGATGTTTGACAAAGTGTTCCAGTTACTCGCTGCTAAAGTGACCATTTGATATAGTCTCCTCTAAACTTTTAAGGAATGGTGTCAGGGAAAATTCAGGCAAGAGCAAGATGAAGAGTTAATTGTAGAAACAAGTAAATGATCTTATTTTGACTCTCAGAGAATAATGGGAGTTGGCCATTTAGCCCATTGAGCTCACTACTATTCAACATGATCATGGCTGAACCTCTATGTCAAGACCATACTCTCTCATTCCCCTCAACTCCAACAACACGAATGGGTGGATGCATTGCATTTAGATTTCCATAATTTGTAATAAGGTGCCTTATGGAAAGGTTATTGCAGAAAATAAAACCTCAAGGTAGGGAGCAGCATATTGACAGAAGGATGGCTAGTTACTAGGTATGAGGGGTAGGTGTCAAATGGTTTTATCAGGTTGTAAGATCCAATGAATGGTACGTCACATGATAGGTGCTAGGATCTCAACTACATACTATTGATATGAATGCCTGAGATGAAGGGGCAGAAGTTACAGTTGCCAAATTTGCTGACCTCACAAAGATAGGTAGGAAACTAAGGTGTGAAGAGGACACAAGAGTTACAAAAAGATACTGAAGTGAGTTGGCAAGGATGAGGCAAATGGAGTATGTGGAAAAATATGAAATTGTCCACATTGTCAGGAAAATTGAAAAAAACAGTAGATTATCTAAATAGAGAGAGACTGCAGAGCTCTGAGCTGCAGCGGGGTCCGTGTGTCCAAATGCATGAAGCACAAACATTTAGTATATAGGTACAGCAAATAATTAGGGAAGCTAATAGAACATAATTTAACAGAACAGGAATGGAATACAAAAATAGGAGATTATGCTACACACTGGGCACAGGGGAGACCATATCTGGAGTACTATGCATCACATAGGCCATTTTATTTAAGGATGTAAATGCTGAAGAAATGTTTCAGAGAAAGCGTACTAAACTAGTGCCTGGAATGGCCAGGGTGTCATAGGAAAGGTTGGACAGGCTAGATTCCTATCCACTGAAGCTCAGAGGAGTAAGAGGCAACTTGATTGAAGTATAAACCCTGAAGGACCTTGACATCCATGTGGATATAATGCTTCCTCCTATGGGAGAATCTAGAACAAGGGGCCATATTTTGCCAATCAGGGGTTGCCCATTTAAAACAGATAGTAAGCTTTCAGATGGTTGAGTCTTAGGATCTCTCTCTATGAAACAGTGGCGGAAGCAGAGTCCTTGAATATTTTTAAGGTAGCGGTAGATAAATTCTTGGTAAGCAAGGAGTTTGAAAGATTGTCACCAAAATGTATGAATGTAGATTTGGGGTCACAATCAGATTAGCCATGACCTTATTGAACAGTACAGCATGTTTGAAGGGCTCCTTGTTCATACGTTTGTGTGCTTCCAAGAAATTTCACACCTCCAAGAATTGCTTGGAAACAGTGGAGAATTTCAGGTAAATTCTGAAGAGCTGTAGCATACCTTTGGGTTGATTCCAGGAAAATGGATTGATAACACTAACTTATAGTTATACATGCCAGGTGTCTAGTGCTTAATTTTTTTAAACATACAATAAAGTTTCTGATTAAAAATGTGTTGATAGTGCAGTCCTTTCAATTGATTACCATTGTTCGAAGTTCTCTTTCAGGATTTGGAATTGTCACAAGTTCAAATAAAATTTATCATATACATCAATTGTAATTTAAGAGATGTGACTTATCTAAATTTTGATATCATTTATTTTCAAGTTTGGATTGAGCAAGCAGTATGTGGGTTTTGCTATGTCTTAAGGAGTTTAATGATCAATTTATAAGTATTTCTGAAGCCATGTTCAATTTTTAAAAAAGTATGTGTGCTTGATGTGTGATGGGGTTGTGTTTTCACTGAGTGTGTTTTTATGGACAAAATAAAGAATTTAATGTTAGGCTTTCGGTTTGGAAGGTCAGAGATTTTTTATTTCTTTTGATTAGGGTAATCACCATAGTTTAGAAAAAGTTTTTGGGTTCCAGTTTGGCAGGTTTTGCAGAAGCCGGATGGGAGTAAAACAGTTGCTCCTGACTAAAGGACATGGGTTAAAACAGTTAAGAAATAGACTACCTTAGTGTAAGCAGTTTAGTTTTAAGGTTCTGACCAAAAGTATTTGGGAAGGTATTACAAGCTGAGAAAGTCTCAGCTCAGTTGTCTGATAGCAGCTGTCAGATTCTAATGACAGGGAATTGAAGCCACATTTAGATTAAGCCGTATAGATGTGAAAGAGAAGGGAATTGTCACTGGAGAGAGCACTGTAAAGTGATGCTTTTGGGATTTTATTTCACCGTGTTATGAAACCTTTACATGCATTATAAATGAATAGTTCAGTTTATTCTATTTTGATTTTCATTTCTTGTGTACAATAAACTTCTGTTTTATTGTTAAAACAGAATCTGCAGCATTGTAGGCTTGTTTCAGTGGAAAACCTGATAGGATCTATCAATTCAGATTTCAGTTTGGGATCTGACTTGGCCAGTAATAAAAACTGGAGCCAGGAAGAGAATCTAGTTTTAATATGAAAAATATTTCAGGATTTGATTTTGTAAAAATAAAAACTTTGGACTCAACTTAAAAGCTTGTCTCAAAGAGTGTTTACATAACTTGACAGCAGTGGTGAGATACGATGATGCATTCAAGTATCTTTTGAGTGGTTATTATAGGTCATTGTCACTAACTATAATCAATGGTAGTCTCTTCCATAACATCGCTTTCTCTCTTAAAGCATGGCTCCAAAGATTGCAGTGTCTGTTTAGCAAAATCATTGGACGAACTGATGAATTCAAGCAGGATATTTGACCATACAAAAACCTCAATCTTATCCTTTCCAGTCAATACCAGGCAAGATTAAGAACAGAAATCTAAACAGGTTTACTGCCTTTTCGCCCCAAAGACATTGGGTTAGATAAAGTCATCAACAGAATCAGCAAAATCTACAAATACCAGAGATGGAAGCTGGAACTTTCCAGGCTTATATGGTCATGTATCATAGAACAGAGTAAATAGGTACACATTAGAATGCAGTGCTATGACATTCATTCAATCAGTTTATGATGAAATACACTAAGATTAAATGTGAGAATCTAGAACTAAGGATACCGGTTTAAAAATAAGGGGTCATACATTGAAGACTGAAAAGAAGAAACATTTTTTCTCTCAGAGGATTGAATGTCTTTGGACTTCCCTTCCCAAAAGGAAATGGATACAGAATCTTTAAATATTTTTAAAGGCAGAGATAGAGACATTCTTGATTACTAAGCAGATGAATGATTACATTCCTGCATGTACCCGATTTAGAGTTGAAATTAAAATCAGTCATGGCCTATTGAATAGTGGGGCAGGCTTGAAGGGCGAATTGGCCTACTCTTGTTCCTTGCTTATATGTTTGTATCACAATGGAAAAGGTATATGCACACATTATATATCTTTCAAGTTAATTTTTGAACGCAAATATTACCTTGGAGTTGCATTGCACCTTTAACATTGAAAAATATTCCAAAGTGCTTCAGAGGCTACACCAGTGCTTCCCAAACTTTTTCATGGTGCAACCTCTTTTTAATGCCGACTTTGTGACACCCTGCAGTGAAAATGTCGGGGCTAGGAGTTGTTGAGTGAATGGGGAGAGGTGTCAGGTTTAGTGGTTGAATGGGTTGGGGGATTGGGGAAAACAGAAGAAGTTGAGTGGGGGGGACAGCTGATAAAAAGACAGGGTTCCGCTAAAAGTATACACCTGTTCTATTAATTCTCTGGCTTTTTCCCAGAAGTAAATCGAGCTTCAGCTAGCAGTCCATTATGTAGGCACACAGACAAAAGAAGTATGCAAGTGTTTGAAGTGTCCTCGCAGCTGTTAGAAACCAGTCCAAGTTCAGCCAGTATTATCTCGTGGTCCCAAAAGCTCATCTCAGCACCCTACTGGGGAATTGAGACCCACAATTTGAGAAGCTCCGGTTGACACCACTTGAGAAACATGAGCCAACAACCAAGTCACAGCCTGCCACCACTATCTGACTCTTCACACAGCAGACAGAAGCTTCTATAGAGAGCCTGAAGCATTTAAACACTCCACCTTGTGGCCTGGGCAAAACTTCAATGCTTCAGAATTTTAAAATGCACTAGATCGTGAAGATTTGCTGCATACACCGTTTACTCATTTTCAAACCCTCAGAAGATTAGCATGCAGGGTGAAATCCACAGGAACAATTCAACACAGTTAATATATTTATGCAGTTAAATTATTCTAAATCAGAAAAACAACAGCCTGCCATCTGTCATTGCAGTCAGCTTCAAGTTGGGCTTGCCCTTTCAGAATTTCAGCTTGCCCAAAGCAAGAATATTTCAGACCATTACTGTGCAACCAGAATCATTTAACAATTTGGGTGGCGACTTTAAGAAAGCAATGAATTTAATGCAATTTACTCCAGTATGACAACTGTTATGTGAATTATGAGTATGGCAGTTTGCATCTCTCCCTCCACCCACTGTTCACATATATCAAATTTACATAGACAGTCTAGACATTCCTTCATATCAAGGCTGTATATGGCAACTGCTTAAACAAGACTTTTAAAACACAACTACACAGTGAGACCTGAAAAACATTTGGACAAAATCTTCTTTACCTGTGGTACGACACCAATGGCTTTTCTCAAGCTTTCCAAACTAATGTCTCTAATATTCTGACCAGCCACATAAATGTTTCCTGATTGAGGTTCGTAGAATCGGAACAGCAACCTCACTATTGTGCTTTTCCTGTACCATACAAAACAAATTGTAGAATTATTTAAAGGTGCATGTCAAAAGGGGAGTCAAATCTACTAATGGTACTATAAATTGGGCCATCTCCAGTAAATATTAAGGTGCAATAAGTATTAACTTTATTTTTTCTAATTTCAGCCAAAACAGAAAAGAGGTAGTTGAGATAATCAAACTTAAGCTCAACTCCAGATTGGTTTCATCCATACACCTATAAAGTAGATGGAGATAGAAGGACAAAGACATATATCAAAATTCATTGGTAATAACAACAGCATCAGACAATTAGATTTAAAAAAAATCCTGGGATTTAGGTGTCACTGGCTAGGACAGCATTTTCCCCCTAGCCAAATGCCCTGGAGAAAACTATAATACCTGTACAGTCCTTGGATTATAGGGACACCCATAGCACTAGTGTTGAAGGTGGTGCATACAGTGCCACCCAAGCTTGCTGCATTGACCTGGTCAGAGTCTTGCTTGAATATTGCTGCAGCTGCACCCATCCAAGCAAGCGGAAAGCATTCTATCACACTCCGCCATTCAACATGATGTGGGATCTAGCAGACCTCACTGTGGTTCATAGTGACCACATCTGTAGCAAGTGGTGGTTGCTTCAGGGCTCAGAATTAATGAGCTGGATTCTGAGCTTCAAACACTGCGACGCAGTGGAAAATCTGGTATTAGGGATCTAATGATGACCACGAAACCATTGTCGATTGTTGGAAAAACCCATCTGGTTCACTAATGTCCTTTAGGGAAGGAAACTGCCATCCTTACCTGGTCTGGCCAACATGCAATTCCAGACCCACAGCAATATGGTGGACTCTCAAATGCCCTTTGGGCAATAAATGCTGCCTAACCAGTGATACCATCACCTCGTTAATGAATTAAAAATTGGGGGGGTGGGGGGTGGAGAAGAGAGAGAGAGTTACCTGAATGCTGTGTTTCAGGAGGCAGTTACACCCTTTAGATTAACTACGTCGAATTTGGGCAGTAGACATGTACAGGAGGGTGTGACTATGAGTGAGGCAGGCAGAGGGATCAGGAGGTAGTGTTGAAGGAGCATCAGCACTTGAGCTTTTCTAACAGGTCTGAGATTCTTTCTCCTTGTGCAGATGAGAGTTGGGGCTGTAGATAGGATGAGCAAATTGATCATAGCGCTGTGGTAAAAGGAGCCAGTTAAGAGAGGGCAGAAGAGAGAAATGTAGTTGTAACTAGATTAGTATAGTCAGGGGAATTGACATTAATCTCTGTAGCCAGGATTGAGAGTCTCAAAAGATTGTGTTGCGTGCCTGGTGCCTTGCATCAGGGTCTCTCATCTGGGCTGCACAGGAACTTGGATTGGGAGGGGGATGATCTGTTTGTCTTCGTCCACGTAGGTACAAATGACGTAGGTAGAAGAAGAAAAGATGACCTGCTGGTGGAGTATGAGCAGCTAGGGACTAAATTAAAAAGCAGAGCCAAAAAAGGTATTAATCTCCAGATTACCATCCGAGCCACAAGCTAACTGGCACAGCGTCAACGACATTAAGGAGGCAAACATGTGGCTCAAAGATTGGTGTGGGAGAAATGGTATCAAATTCGGGGGTCATTGGCACCAGCACTGGGGAAGGAGAGCGCTGATCCAATGGAATGGGCTCCACCTGAATCATGCTGCGACCAGGGTTCTGACAAATCGCATAACTAGGGCTTTAAACTAAATAGTTGGAGGTGGGATCAGCTGCACGGAAAATTATAAAATCAAAAGGCGAAGGGGAAGGTAGGAAAGGTTGCTGATAGATTGATTGTAACCAGAAAATAAAAAGAAAGGGACAGAATGTGTGAATTTCATATTACATTAAAGAAACTCAATAATAGAACAAAATTAAAGCATTGTATCTCAATACATGAAGCATTCTGAATAAGGTAAATGAACTGACAGTGCAACTCAAGGCAAATGAATATGACCTCGTAGCCATTACAGAAACAAACAAACAGTCACAAGGACATCAAAACTGGGAACTTAACATTCAGGGATATTTGATCTTTAGGAGAGACAGGAGGAATGGAAAACTGGGGAGGTAACACTATAAAGAAGAAATTAAATGAAGACAGTTGAGAGAAATGATCTAAGCCAAGATGATGGAGAATCCATTTGGGCTAAGGTTATAAAAATAGTAAGGGAATGATGACATTGGTAGGAGTAGTGCACAGACACCCAAACACTAGCCACTCTGTGGGAAAGGCTTTAAATCAACAAATAACGGGAGCATGCAATAAGAATAGAGCAATAATTATGGGTGACTTGAATCTTCATGTTGATTGGGTTAATCAAATTGGAAAAGGTAGCCATGACAATGAATTCACAGTGCATTAGTGATTGTTTCCTACAGCAATAAGTCATAGAGCCAACCAGGGAGCAGGCTGTCTTGGACCTGGTAATGGGTAGCGAGACATGTTTAATAAATGACTGCAGAGTAAAAGATCCCCTAAGAATTAGTGATCATAACATGACAGAATATTTTGAGGGCGAGAAACTTGGGTCAGAAACAAGTGAATTACAGTGAAAATGAGGATAGAGTTAGCTAAAGTGAAACGGATGAATAGTTTAGCAGGAATGACAATAAGCAAGCAGTGGCAGACATTTAAGGAGATAATTTATGACTCAGCAAAAATATCTCTACAAGGAAGAAAGATTCTGAGAAGGATAAACCAACCATGGCTAACCAGGGAAGTTAAGGAGAGTATTACATTGAAAGAAAAAGCATATAAAGGAGGCCAAAGTCAGTAACAGCCCTGAAAACTGGGATAAATTCAGAACCCAAAGGAGGTTCAAAAAGATAAAAAAGACAGTAAATAAACACATGAGGGCAAACTAGCAAGGAAGATTAAAAACTGACACGAAGAATCTCTTTAAACATATAAAAAGGAAGAGAGGGGTCAAGGTGAACATAGACCCTTTGGAAATAAATCTGGGGAAATGGTTTTGGAGAACAAGGGAATGGCAGAGAATAACTCGAATGTTCCACTAATACTAAAGAATATAAGGGAGGAATTAAGTACCATTGCAATCACTGAACTAGTATTAGACAAACTGATGCAGTTAAAGGCAGATAAGTCTCTGGCTCTGATGGTTTGCATTCTGGGTTTCTAAAAGAGGTGCCCAGAGAGATAGTGGATGCACTTGGTTGTAATTTTCCAAAAACTGTTTAATTCTGGAGAAGTACCAGAGAATTAGAAAACTGTCAATGTGACACCCCTATTCAAAAAGGGAGACACACAAAGGTAACTAAAGGCCAATTAGGACAACATCTATTGTTGGAAAAGAACTGGAATCAATTATTACAGAAGTTAAAGCGAAACATTTGGAAAATCATCACCTAATCATGCAGAGTCAGCTTTGCTTCGTGAAAGGGAAACATCTGACTAATTTAGGAAAGATTTTTGAGAAGTCTCAGCCAGGGTGGTTAGAGGGGAACTAGATGTATTGCATTTAGACCTCCAGAAGGTATTCAACGAGGTACTTCACAAAAGGTTAAGATAAGAGCCCACGGTGTTGAGGTCCTATATTGGCATAGATAGAGAATTGGCTCATGGACAGGAAACAGTAAGCGGGGATAAGGGATTTCTTTTAGGTTGGTGATTTGTGACCAGTGAGCTTCCACAGGGATCAGTGCTGGGACTATAAAATGTTTACAATATATATTAATGACTTAGAGGAAAGAAGTGAACATATTGCAGCCAAACTTGAAGACACAAAAATAGTTGTAAAGGCAGGTTGTGAAAGAGATGCAAATAAACAGCTTAGTAAGAGATATTGATAGGTTAACTAAGTAGACAAAATGTTGGCAAATGGAGTATAGGGTGGGAAAATGTGAAGTTGTTCAATTTGGAAGGCAGAATAAAAGAAAATATTATTTAAATGGAGAAAAACGACGCAGAACTGCAATACAAAAGTGATTTAGGGGTATTTGTGCACGAAACACAGTAAGCTAGTACACATGTGCAGCAGGTAATCAGGAAAGCTAACGGAATGTTGACTCTTATTTAAAAGGGGTTTGTAGTATAACAGTAGGAACGTTTTACTGCAACTGGTGCTGTGGAGACAACATCCAGAGCTGTTTTGTCTCCCTTTTCTAAGAAAATATATTATTTCATTGAAGGCAGTTCAGAGAAGGCTCACTAGGGATTATCCCTGGTACGAAGGTGTGCCCAGTGCTGCTCCTGGAATGCTATCCTGCACTCTTCATAAAATCAGGGTCGATCACCCATAGCTTGACGAGCAATAGGCTGAAATGCCAGACCATAATAATGTGATTGAATACAATTCTACTTATGATGCCTCACGAATGCTCAATTTTCAGTTATTATATCTGTTTCAAGTCTGGCCAATTTAGCACAATAGTAGTGGGTATGCTCAAGGTAATAGCAGGACTTAGTCACCATGGTCTGCAGTGGTTACTCCTATTATTGTCATGGGTGGACACATCTGCATTAGCTGGATTGCTGAGGATGAAGTCATGTAGATCCTTCCTTCTTGTTGGTTCTCTCATCAGCTGCCACAAGACTAGTAGCTATGCTCTTTAAGTCTCAACCAACTTAATCAGAAATGGTTCTACTAAGCTATTCTTACTGGTAGATATTGATATCCCTCACCCAAAGTATAATTTGGGGTATACGCTCGGTTTTAAAATATTTGAATAAGTCATCCAGAGAACGAAAGTCAAGTCAACTTAAAAATAATGCAGAATACACTGCAGAATCGTCTCTAAAAGATACAACAGAACATGGATATTAAAGAAAAAATTAGCTTCCAAAAGTAAAGATCATATTGACCAACAATACCAAATTTTTGCCAAGTAGCAAAAAAGGAGAAGACAAAGCTAGATCATTGGGTATAATATCCTTAGATTTTCAAAAAGATCTTTGCAAAGGTACTTCCTAATAGATCTATGACTCAGGTCAGAGAATGCAGACTCAGGCAGCAGGCAGAAAACAGGGTTGAGGATTATGGGTAACTACAGATTGCCAAAAATGAGAATGTATTTCACACTCACCAATGTGGGTAATTTACAGAAAAATTCTGGACTTGGGAATTAGAACTGCAATTTCAAAATCTGCAGGTGATGCCAAATTTGGGGGCTATAATTAACACGGTGGAAAAATGCCACAAAATACAAGACATTAATAAACTTGTAGAGTGGGTGTGTAAGTAGCAAATAAATTTCAATACAGTCAATTGTGAGGCGATGCATTTTTGGCAGAAAGTCATGGCCTGTTTTGGATAATAAGTGTCAAATGACAGAGGAGCAAAGGGATGTGGATTACACAAATTGCTGAAAGTAGCAACACGGTTAATAACACCATTAAAATGAGCAAACAAAGCACTGGGTTTCATTCCTAGTGGAACAGAATTCCAAAAAAAACAGACAAGTTTCATTAAATATGTATAGAACCTGGGTTAGTCCACAATTGGCAGTATTATGCACGGTTCTGACTCCGTATTATAGAAAGCGAAGAGATGTACCCAAGGTGGTGTACAAAGGTCTTATTTGAAACGTACCAAGTTGTAAAGGTATTTCTATCAGGAAAGGTCAAACAGACTCTTGCTCTAGAAAAAGACAGAGGGGTGACCAAACAGAGGTCTTCAAGAATATAAAAGGGTTTGATAGTGTGAACAAAGTCAAAGCACTTCAACTTATGGGAGATTTCTAAACTAGGGATAATTAATTAAAATCACTAATAATATCAACAGTTATGAAGGTTTCCCTTCTTCCTAAAGAGTATCTAGAATATGAAATTCATTGCAAGTAGCAGCTCCGGTAAATGGCATTGATGCATTTAAGGGAAACTATGTAAGCACAAGGGAAAATGAACAGAAATTTCCTAATAGGAAATAAAAACAAAACGCTGGAATTCTTTGCAGGTCAAGCATCTGGCAAAAGGAGGAATAGACTAAGCATCTCAGGTCTATGACTTTTCAATCAGAATTAGTAAGAGTTCAATGAAGACAGCAGGAGAAAGTTCATGAAATGGTGGGTTGAATGATCTGTTTTGACGCATTAGACTACGTCATTATATTTTCTGCTTTGTGGTAATGTTATTTGAATTTTGAAGAAAACCCATGCACATATAAAATAACAGGAAAGAAAGTTTGCCAAGAACATTTATTCATTTCTGGCACGTGGCCATCACTGGCTTGGCTGGCGTTTATTGCTCATTCCCAAATGCCCTGGAGATGGTGGTGGAGAGCAGCCTTCTTCAGATGCTGTAGTCCTTAAGGCATAGGAACATTTGCCTGCACTTGCGGCGCAATATTACTTGCCATGTATTAACTCAAGCCTGGATGTTGTTCAGGTCTTGTTGCATATGTACACTGACTGCTTCAGTGTCTAAGGTTTTGTGAATGGTGCCAAACATCCTGTCAGAAAGGACGGTAGGTCATTGCTGAAGATGGATGGGTCTTGGATACTACCCTGATGAACTCCTGGAGTTGAAATATCTGACCTTAAACAACTGCAATAATATTCCTCTATGTTAGGTAGGAATTCAACATGAGGAGGGTCTTCCTCGATTCCTACTGACCCCAACTTTGCTAGGGCATTGTTGAAAATGTTACATTAACTGAACCTCCATCTCCTATTAGTTGCATAGTTATCCACCACTATTCATAACTGGATGTGGCAGGATTTGATCTGATCGGTTGGTGAGAGACCACTTAGTCTTTTGATTGCATCATGTGTTGTTCATCAGCTTTACCAGGCTGACACTTCATTTTTTTTTTATCCCTGGTACTGCTCCTGACATGTCCTCCTGTATTCTTCATAGAATTATGGTTGATACCCTGGTGTGGTGGTACTGACATTAGGGAAAATATGCTAGGCTCTGAGGTTACAGATTGTGATCAAATAGAATTCTGCTGGTAATGGCCCACAGCATCTCATGGATGCCCAATTTAGAGTTGCGAAATCTATCTGAAGTCTGGTCCAGTTAGCACAGTGGTAGTACCACAGAACCTCTAGTGTGTTAAATTCAAAATGTGAAGGCAGGTCTTGGTCTGCAAAAGTACTAAGCTGTGGTCACTCCTCCCCACAGGATCATGGATATATGCATCTGCGACAGGTAGTTTGGTAAGAATGAGGTCAAGTTGATTTTTCCCTCGTGTTAGTTCCCCATCCACTTGACACACAGCCAGTCTAACAGCTGTCTTTTAGGATTCTGGTAGCTCAGATAGTGGTGGTACAACTGAGCCTTTCATAAAAGACACTGGAAGTCCCCTTCTGGAATACTGAGCACCCTGCTTCCTCCAAATGGTGCTTACAATTGTACCGATTTATCTGGGGTGGTGCTTGAGAGTAGTTATCAACAAGTTCTATCTGGTTACATTAGGAGTCTGGAGTGAACGTTGAGGACTCCAAGGGCAACTCTCTTCTGACTGTGCCGCCACTTTGCTTCTGATGGTGGAACAGTGTATACCCAGCAATGGTGGCAGTCTGGGACAATAATATCTTACAGACAATGACTATGTCAGGCTGTTGCTTGACTAGTTTGTGGAATAGCTGTCCCAAAATTTGGCACAAGCCCTCACATGATGAGAATGCTGCAGGGTTGGGTATGCTATTGTTGGTTCCTACGTAGATGACAGGTTGTCCAGCCAACTTCATTGCTTTCCTTAGATTCTGCTGTGATTTGATGCAATTGAATGCCATTTCAGAGGACAGTTAAGAGTTAACCTGTGAGTCTCAAGTCACATGTAGGTCACACAAGGGCGCAAATTTCTCTCTCTAAACATCATTAACCAGGTGTCTTAACACTTAATTGACAGTGGTTACCTGATTGCCATTAGGCTGGCTTTTAGTTCCAGATATTAGTGTAACTTGAATTCCATATCTGCCATGGTTGGATTCAAATCCATGTGCCTAGAACATTAGCTTGGAGTTCTGGATTACTAATCCAGTAACATTACCATTACATCACCACCTTCCCTTTAAGTGTAGTGGAGGCAAGGGGAGGACACAATATAGAAATTAACGTATTAGGTGATGGTGGGCTTTGAAATTAAATTTCTGCAAATAAAGAGCTGATGCAAACGTTCTGAAACAGCTTGGGGAAGTAAGTGTCAGTAGCATGAGAATTAAATTCATTGTTGGAATCAGAGAGTAGCTTTGGATCTCACAATAATCTGGATTGTTCTTTCTTAATTATGACATGTAGCTATATTTTTTGATTTTATAAAATGTGTGCGTGTAACATAGATCTGGACACCCATGCTACAGAATGTTACCCTCAATGTTTTGTTAGTTAGAGGTTAGCTGCTAATGAATAATAACAAAAACAAGAACATTTAGTTCCAAGTAGCTCATTTACAAATTAAGAGGAAACTAAAAGATGATAAATGGCATTGGTGGAGGACTGACCGGAAAAGTCCCTCCATCATTTTCTCGATCAATTATTGAATCTAAAAAAATCAGGGGGCAGCAAATCTGGATTTAAAAAGGAGAAACAGCTAGGGATTCAATATACAAGTGAAAGGGAACAAAATCATGTGAGAGATAACATATAAAAATGTTGGAGACAAATAAAGTGGAGGAAATATTTCAAATAAAAAAAGTTTGAATTGGCAAGATTATAGCGTAACTGACTACCTACCCAGAACCACTCCCACCTACAACTGCCACTTTCTTCCCAGCAGGAACTTCAAATGATACTCCATCAAGGACTTTGTGACCATTGATATATTCAAAGCAAACGTCTTCAAAAGTGATTGTAGATTTCTCAGGAGAAACCTGCAGTGCAGGTGCCTTTTCTATATCCTAATAGCCCAACAAAAAAACAAAATTGTATTACTGAACTAAGAGCAACAAAGGTTAAAACAAAAAGACACTAGATGACTTGCATCTGATTTCCCATCGGGACATTTTAAAAACTGAAGGTCTCAAATTATTAAGCACTTTCAAGTTGCATTTCATAGAGTACAAATAAAATTTCTGGCTAACAATGTGGAAGTTAGAGTCTTACATCGAGATGTTGACTTTCAACAACTGTGCCACATTACCTTGATCTTTGCATCAACGTTTAGCAATGTAAATAAAGTGTTCATGTCTATTAGTGCCTGCCGTGTCTCTCGATATACTGTGCCCAGAAAATTTAAGGGAAGAGACAACTGGAAAAGTAGGCCATTCACCATCACCAAGTCTCCAACTGTTAGTGTACCTACAAAAGAACGGGTATTACAATAAACTTGTATATAAATTCAACTTGTAGTCCTAACAAAAACCTTGAACAGGAGTTTACTACTACATAATACTTGCATTAAATAGCAAAATACAGTGAATTTAACTAAGCAAAAGAGATACTTGATTGCAAAACAAGCAGGATCATTTTTAATTTCTCACATATTTACATCCATATGCAACAAGACTTGAACATTCAGGCTTGGGCTAATAAGTGGCATGCAATTTTTCCATCGTACAGTGCAAGCCAGTGACTGTCTCCAACAAGGGAGAATTAACTAATTAACCATCTCATGACATCCAATAGCATTACCATCAATGCCCCAAGGAGGACGGTTCTTCCCACTGACCTAAAGCTGAACTGGACCAATGATATAAACACTGTGGCTACAAGACCAGGTCATCAGCTGGAAATTATGCAGGGACTAACACCTCACCTACCAAAGCTGGTGCACCATGTACAAGGCAGAAGTCAGGTGTGTGACAGAATACTCTCAATTGGCCTGGGTGAGTGTGATCTCAAATACTCTGGGTTTGATGCTATCCAGGACAAAGCAGCTAGCTTTACTGACATCCATTCCACTTATCGACTTAAAGATTCATTCTCTCCACCACTGCCACACAGCAGCAATAATGTGCACTATTTACATGATGCAGCAACTCACCAAATCTAAAACACCAAAACACTTATAATGGTCACATATAGACCCCTAAACTGCAGTGATGTTGAGAATGGCGTTAAACAGGAAATTAGAGATGCATGTGGCAAGGGAACATTGGTGATCATGGAATGGGAGGTTTTAATCTGCACTTGGATTGGGCAAGTCAAATTAGCCACAATGCCATAGGGGAGGAATTTCTGGAATGTATATGGGATGGTTTTCTTGACCAATATGTGGAGATACCAACTAGAGAGCAGGCCATCTTAGACTGGGTCCTATGTAACGAGAAGGGAATCATTGCCAATCTAGCTCTGAGACACCCCTTGGGGAAGAGCGACCATAACATGATAGAATTTTTTAACCAGATGGAGAGTGAGGTTATTGATTTGGAGACTAGAGTGCTGAACCTTAATAAAGGAAACTACGAGGATATGAGGCGAGTTAGCCTTGATAGATTGTAGGTCATACTTGAATGGATGACAGTGGATAGGCAATGGCAAACATTCAAGGAATGCATGGGGGAACCGCAACAACTGTTTATTCCCGTCTGTCACAAAAGCAAAATGGGTAAGAGGGCCAATCCATGGCTTACAAAGGAAATAAGAGATAGTATCAGCATGATAAGGAAGGAGCATACAGATTAGCCAAGAAAAGTAATAAATGTGAGGATTGAGAGCAGTTTAGAATTCAGCAAAGAAGGACAAGGGATTGATCAAGTGGAAAATTGAGTACAAAAGGAAGCTTGCAGGAAATATAAAGACTGACACTAAGAGTTTCTATAAGTATGTGAAGAGAAAGGGATTGGTAATGACAAACGAAGGTCCCCTACAGACAGAAATGGGGGAATGCATAATAGGGGACAAAGAAATGGTTGAGGAACTGAATACATACTCTGGTTCTGTTGTAACAAAGGAAAACACAAATCAGATACCAGAACTGTTGGATGATGCAAGATTTAGACAGAGGGAAGAGCTTAAGGAGATCAATATTAGGAGAGAAATGGTGCTAGAAAAATTGTTGGGATTGAAGGCTGATAAATCCCCCCAGGGCCTGATAATCTATATCCCAGAGTACTTAACGAAGTAGCTTTAGAGATAGTGGATGCATTGGTGGTCATTTTCCAGGATTCTATAGACTCTGCAATAGTCCTTGCTGACTGGAGGGTGGCTGATGTCATTCCAATATTCAAAAAGGGAGGTAGAGAGAAAACAGGGAATTATAGACCGGTGAGTCTAACATTGGCAGTGGGGAAAGATCTCAAATTCATTGTCAAGGATTTTATTGCAGAGCATTTAGAAAGCAGTGGCAGGATCAGACAGAGTTGGCATGGATTTATGAAGGGGAAATCATGCTTGAAAAATCTGTTGGAATTCTATGAAGATCTAACTAGTAGAGTTGACAAGGGGGAGTTGGTCAATGTAGTATATTTGTACTTTCAGAAAGCATTTGACAAAATCCCACAGAAGAGATTAATGTGCAAGATTAAAGCATATGGGAGAAGTGTATTGGGATGGTTAGGAAAATGGTTGACAGAGAGGAAACAGAGTAGGAATCAATGGAAACTTTTCAAATTGGCAGGCAGTAACTTTTGGGGTGCCACAGGGATCAGTGTTGAGACCCTAGCTATTCACAATATATATTAATGATTTGGATGAGGGAACAAAATCTAACATCGCCAAGTTTGCAGATGATACCAAGTTGGGTGGGAGGGTGAACTGTGACGAGGATGCAGAAATCCTTCAGCATGATCTCGACAGGTTGGTTAAGTGGGCAAATCAATGGCAGGTGCAGTATAATTTGGATAAATGTTGACGTCACTTTGGAAGCAAAAACAAGATGGTAGATTGCTACCTGAATGGCTGTAAATTGGGAGAGGGGAGTGTGCAGCGGGACCTGGGCATCCTTGTGCAAAAGTCACTAAAGGTAAACATGCAGGTGCAGCAGGCGGTAAAGAAGGTAAATGGCTTTCATTGCCAGTGGTTTTGTGTACAGGAGCAGGGATGTGTTGTTGCAGTTATACAGGGCCTTGGTGAGATCAGACCTGGAATAGTGAGTGCAGTTTTGGTCTCCTTTTCCGAGGAGGAATGATCTTGCTCGAGGGAGTGCAGCGAAGGTTTACCAGGCTGATTCTGGGGATGGCAGGTCTGACGTATGAGGAGAGATTGACTAGGTTGGGATTGTTTTTGCTGGAGTTCAGACAATGAGGGGGTATCTCAGAGACTTTTAAAATTCTAACAGGACTGGATGCAGGGAGGATGCTCCCGTTGGTGGTTGTGTCCAGAACCAGGGGTCACAGTATGAGGATTCGGGGTAGACGATTTATGTTGGAGATGAGGAGAGTGGTGAGCCTGTGGAATTCATTACCACAGGAAGTACTTGATGTCAAAACATTGAATGTATTCAAGAGGCAACTAGATATCGCACTTGGGGAAACGGGATCAAAAGGTTATGGGGAGAAAGCAGGATTAGGCAATTGAGTTGGATGATCAGCCATGATCGAGAAGAATGGCAGAGCAGGCCCAAAGGGCTGAATAGCCTCCTCCTATCTTTATGTTTGTTAAATCTACTCTGACAACAGAGACATCAGCTCCCCACCCCAAACCACCTAGAGAAAAAGGACTGCAGACGCATGGGAACATCACCACCTCCAGGTTCTTCAGCAAGCCACATACCATCCTGACTTTGAACTATACCACACTGCTTCAGTGTTGCTGGATCAAAATGCTGGCTGGGGCTTCCTTAACAGCACTACAGTATACCTACAGTACACGGACAGCAGCTTTCAGAGGACTATGGATGGCAACTAATTCTAACTTAGTCAACGACATCCACAGAAGAATACAAAGAGCTGAATGGGACCTTGCCTGGGGAGGTGGCATTTGGTATTGTCACTGGACTAGTGATCCAGAGAGCCAGGCTAATTCTTTAATTCATTTGCGGGATGTGGGCATCATTGGTTAGCCTGCATTTATTGCCCATCCCTAGTTGCCTTCAAGGAGGAGGCGGTGAGCTGTCTTCTTGAACCACTGCAGTCCATGTGCTGTGGGTTGACCCATAATGCCAATAGGGAGGGAATTCCAGGATTTTCACCCAGCCACAGTGAAGGAATAGCAATGTAATTTTCAGGTTTAAGATGGTGAGTGGCTTGGAGGGAAACTTGAAGGTGGTGGTGTTCCCACGTGTCTGCTGCTTTTGTCCTTCTAGATGGAGGTGGTCGTGGATTTGGAAGGTGCTGTCTGAGGATCTTTGGCGAGTTGCTGCATCTTTTGGCTAGTACATACTGCTACTACTGAGCGTTTATGGTGGAGGAAATGGATGTTTGTGGATGTGATGCCAACCAAGCAGGCTGCTTTGCCCTGGATGGTGTCAAGCTTCTTGAGTGTTGTTGGAGCTGCACTCATCCAGGCAAGTAAGGAGTATTCCATCACACCCCTGAATTGTGCCTTATAGATAATGGATAGGCTTTTGGGAGTCAGGTGGTAAGTCATTCACTGCATTTTCAGTCTTTGACCTGTTCTTGTAGCCATTGTGCTTCTGTGGACAGTCCAGTTGATTTTCTGGTCGATGATAACCCCGAGGATGTTGTTGGTGGGGATTCAGTGATGGTAACACTATTGAAGGTCAAGGGGTGATGGTTAAATCATCTGTTATTGGAAATAGTTATTACCTGGCATTTGTGTAGCGCAAATATTACTTGCCACTTGTTAGCCTAAGCCTGGATATTGTCCAGATCTTGTTGCATTTGAATGTGGACTGCTTCAGTATCTGATGAATTGCAAATGGTGCTAGACTACGTGTAATTATCAGTGAACATCCCCACTCCTGACCTTATAATGGAGGGAAGGTCATTACTGAAGCAGCTGAAAATGGTTGGGCCAAGGACATTGGGAACATGGATTTGAATCCCACCACAGCAGATGATGTCATCTGAATCAACGAAAATCTGGAGTTAATAGCTAGCCTAATGGTGACCTGTTCACTCATGTCCTTTAGGGAAGGAAATCTGTTCTTACATTTCTGTCCTTAATGCACGTTAAGACCAGCAGCAGAGTGGTTGGGTCGTAAGTGCCCCCTCAAATGTCCTTAACAAGCCAGTCATTCCAGTGGCAATTAGGGATGCGCTGATTAAGTAAATGTTGGCCCAGCCATCAATGCCTCTATTTCATGAATAATTAATAATAAACAGGATTCATCAGTTATGAACACTAGTGCTAATTTTAGTTTGGATGAGGGAAATGGGGAATGAAGCTAAATTAGAAACAAAGAGGGAACTCTATCCCACTCAACACTATTCTGATGTAAACCACAGCTTTTGTTGTTCTTTCCCCTCGATTGCCACAATTCATTCTTGGCATATAGTCATTGGCTCCATGTCTACACCCAATTTCCATCACTAACTGCTTCCAAGTAGGGGGAAGATGGGTTGCCTTCTAGAAGTAAAGGTATTCCCAAACTGCAGTTTGAGGACTTCCAAAATTTTCACCCAGCAATAATTAACGTCCAAATCAAAACTACACGTGTCTTAGGGGTGATGGCATTCCCAAGCAAGTGTCATTTTTATGCTTCAAAGTGACCAATGAAGTCTTGGGAAATGTGGCAAGTCACTGTAGTTCATGCTGCAGTTAATATTGAATATACAAATCTATGAATTAGCACCAGGAATAGACCACTCCACACTGCAGAATGTTGCCAAAGATCTTGAGGCAGCACCTTCCAAACGTGATCAACTCCATCTAGGAGGAGGAAGGCAGCAGATACATGGGAACACCACTACCTGCAAGTTCCCCTCCAAACCACTCACAACCTTACTTGGAAATATATCACCATTCCTTCAGCAGCGGTGGGTCAAAAGTCCTGGAACTATCTTCCTAAAATTGTGGGTCTACCTACAGCACGTGGACTGCAGTGCTTCAAGAAAACAGCTCCTTATCATCAAGGGCAACTAGGGATAGGCAACAAATGCTGGCCTAGCCACAAATGAACAAAAAAATTCTGTTCTACAATTACTTGCTGTACCTGCATGCTAACCTGTCATATTCATACACCACGACACCCAGATTCTTCTACAAGCGCTCATTATTTAAATAGTCTGCTTTCATCTTCTTGCCAAAAAGGACAATTTCATGTTTTCCAAAATTATAACCTATTTGCCAGATCTTTGCCAATTCACTTAACCTATATATATCCCTTTAGAGCCTTCTGTTCACTTTACAATTTACTTTCCTACCTATCTTTGTTACATCATCACGTGTGCAGCAATGATAAAATGATAGTGGACATTTAAGATAAACAAAATGCTAATCCAGCAGAGTTTTATTCTGGATGCTGCTGAGTGTTCAGTGTTATTGCATCACCCATCAGACTCCTGACTTGTACTGTTTATGCAGTGGTAATGCTTTGAAGAATCAAAGACTGCATGGAGTGCATCCTTACAAAAGAACGCAAATATGAAGATGGCAAGGTAATTGAAGGAGACAAAAAAAATGTCAGAACTCCAGGTTAAAATGCTGCACATTTTTAATGCTGTAAACCCAAATTGTAGTAACCGAGGTCTTTGTGATCAGTATTTAGAAATATGGCACGCTAAATTATAGTAACAATTTTCTTCCATGTTTTGAATTGCTAAAACAGGACATGGTCATTTTGTTGTGATTGCTGTCTGATGCTGCAGTTTTTGTATAAAGACTTGAAATTGTCAAATTTTGAAACGCTTATCAAAATGAACTGGTAATCGCATTGAACAGGCAAAGAGAAGTCTACAATAGGAATTTCTAGACTCTGATGGCTGCAGCAATTTAGCAAATCTAAGTTCATTAGATTTTCAGATCAATTGTAGGTTCATTGTTGTTGATGCAATGAGTAATAAGGACTTTTCGTCTGGATTAGCAATCAATAGATTAAATATAGCACATCAAAAATGTATTATTTAATTCTGTTTTTCATAATTGACAGAGGGAATAGTGGAAGGGGAAAAAAAAAAAATCAAAGCATTCTCAAATTATTTCTAAATAAGCTATTTCATGAATTGCAATGGAGTCAAGTAATTTTTCTGCTTGCTTGGGGCATTGAATTGCCTCACATCAGCTATCTGCAGGATACTCATGACTTGGAACTTATCACCATTTCGTCATGTCCCTGGGTCAAATACTGAAACTCCCTCACTGATGACATTGTGGGTACACTTACACCAAATAGACAGCAGCAATTCAAGGTGGCAGCTCACTATCACTTTATCAAGAGCAACTATAGATGGACAGTAAATGCTGGCCTTGTCAGTGATGCCCATAAGCTTTAAAAACGAATGAACAGAAACATAACATGTCTTATGCCTGGAGCCACGGCCGCTGGTGTTCACAACAATTCAGTCAGTGAATCACTATTCCTCAAGAAGTATAGCAAAGCAACCTTCTAGGTCTTCAAAGTAAATATATGCTCCAACAAGCAGAGGCACAGATGATGTTGGCAGATATTGCCTGGGATTCAACAAAGTTGGTTCTTCAGCAGGTCATCAATGAATTATAAAAAGTGTATCTTATAGCTGGAAATAGGCTTACTACTCAAAAAACAAACCAACTATAGGAGGGGAAGAACTTTACAAAGAATAACACATCCAAATATCCAGCCTATAAATCTTTGACGGAAATTTGCCAGTTTAATTGCAGTACCTGCTAGGATTCCTTGACTTGCAAGTAACATGATTCCAGTCAGACCACAGCTAAAAATAAGATTCTGACCAAAGTTCAGTACTGCAAGGCTTGAGGCAGTCTTCAGAGATGCATCTTCATACGTCTTCAAGTATCCATCATATCTCTCTGCTTCATAATTCTCATTGTTGAAATACTGAAAAAGGAATTTAAACTGCAGTACTCGTCAATGGAGAATTAGTTTTGCACACGAAGAGCTTGCTTAAATTTATAGGAAAACAAATATTCTGAAGTATAAATTTGAAAAGCTTTTCTGTAGAATCTAAGGTTTCTCCTATTCTTAAGTTATTCCTATCTTTTCCTCTATATTATGCTTTGACTTTCTTCTGAAAGTACTAGGTCTTACCAGGTTATATCTCCATGGATGTCAGTCTCTGTGGGATTTCCAAAGCTGTATTTTTGACGTGGGCATTGGCAACCTGACCATTGCAGCCAAAACCAATTTGATCATCCAATACCCAACTACTGAGTTCATTGTATGACAACTGGAGCACTGCCTGTAGTTAATTTTGGCCTTCTCAACATGCAAGCCAATATTTTTCTTCCTGCCAGTGCTCCAGATGACCAATTAAAGCAGACCTGGGGTGAAATTTGAAAATTCCCTAAGAACAAAGTACTGCAGGCATTGGAAATCTTAAATATAAACAGATGCTGCCAGACTGCTACATTTTCCAGCATTTTCAGTTTCTTTTTTGAGAATTCTCTAGTGTGTCACTAATTTAACAAACTGAGTCACCAAGGAACTTTTTAGTTGTGTTTACTATATCCCCACCATTGGCACTATTTGATAGCTAAAACGTATACTCTCAGCTTACTCTCACACCTGGGTTAACTTTTAGTTGGCTCCTGAAGTGGTAAAGAACATTACCTACTTAGCTACCCTCCCAAAGAGAGCAGTTTGAGGTATGGTGTAGAACTCCTGCTATATTTCCATGAGTAAGCCTTGTTCAGAGAGAAGGAGGGCTCAACCTTCTAAACTATAGAATTCTGCCAATGCTATACCAAACTACCTCTGAGAAAAAGTTAGATTGCAGCCAAACCAGCATTTCTATCCACCTGCTTGGCAACAATCTCACCTTAATACGAAGTACCAAATTCACTCATGTATAATTCCTGTATCTTAGACAGTCACTGATTCTGCAGCAATTGCAACAACTACATTTATCAACAGTGTCTAATGTGTGTTTTTGGACACAATCAAACTAAGATATATTATCTAACTAGTTCAGAGGTCATAAGGGAATAAAAGTAAATTCATATGGTAGAGCTAATGCTCGAGAGTTTCTTATACTAAGGGTGTTAATTACTTTATAACACTTCTACATTGAGAATTGTAACAAGAGCAGGGGAGGAAGAGTATAACCATCTAAATTGTATAATCTTAAAAGATGGAATTATTTTGTTTTTGATACAAGGTTGTTTAGAATCACGTCCTACCTTCACAGTCTCATAATTCAGGAGTGAGTCTATTGCAGCATTGCCTGCATCATTATCAGCTTTATTCATTTCAATCCGGAATCGAGTCCTACAAGTGAGAAATTAAACATTGTAAAGTCGTCACAAAGATTCTGTTGGTTAAGAAGAAAACTGAAATCAATAGATTTAACATTGCTACAGTACCTCCATTGAGTGATGCCAATTGTAAAAATTGAATACGCAGTTAAAGTTCCCAGAGTTACTAACGCATACGGTCCGCCACATTTATAATACTGTAAGAAATAAACATGAAGTGAATCATTTCTAGAATTTACTATTTTCTATAGGCATCGCTGTTAGCTTTAGGTAAATGTAGTTTTGCGTACTTGAACATTAATTCTAATGATGAGTTGATATATACAGACATAAATATTAGTAACATGTGGCCATTTGGCCCTTCAAACGCGATCCGTCATTCTATAAAATCATGGCTGATCTCGGATTATGGACATTCCCCTTTGGAATTGAGAATCTCCACTTTTCTCCCTACCCTGATACCTTCTGAGTTCCTTATTAGTCAAGAACCTCTACTTACCTTAAAAATATTCAATAACGTTGCCCCAATTGTTCCCTGGGGAAAATGGAATTCCATGGACACATGAACCTCAGGAACCATTTTCATCCTTGTCTTAAACAGGAGACCTCATTCTTAAACTGTATTCCTTAGTTATAATCTCACTATAATGGGAAAAGTCCATTCAGCAAGTTTGCCATAGAGTATGTTTCAGTAAGGTTATCCTCTCATTCTGGATGCAAGTTTAAACCTTCCTCACAAATTAATCTCTTCATCCCAGGAATTAGTTCAGTGAATCTTCTTGGCACTGCTTCTAATATGATTCTGTCCTTTCTTAATTAAAGAGACTAAAGCTGTATACAGAGCTCTAGATGTGGTCTCATCGCTGTTCCTGCAGCAAACCATTCCTAATTCTATATTTCATTCCCTGATCCACAGTGTTTATCAAAAAGTTTATTCAACAAGCAGCCCTGGGCATGTGATAAGATGTTTTACAATTGCAAGTTTTTTCTTTCAAGATAAGATGGATTCTTATTGACTCTACAGCAGTTTTAAGACTGCTTATATATAAATCAAAATTTCATGCTGTGGATCCATCAAGGAATGAACTGAAAAATATAGCACTGGAGGCCATTCAGCTTCACTGCACCCATGCAGGTCGAGTAATTGTACAAGAGCAACTCTGTTAGTCTCTCACCCTCTCTGGCCCAGCAATTTTTCTCTGTTTGTGTGTTTATCTAATTTCCTTTTGAAAGCCACAACTGAATTTCAAAATCATGTTGCCAAACTAGTTTGAATTATCATAGGCCTAATCTTTCCTACAAGCTTTACTCACCTTTTTTAAAAATCAATAACTTGACAACAGTTTAGTTAGCAGAATTACAATTAGTGGAATAGTGGCTGAAAATGATGCAATTAGTTTAATGTTTAATTTTAAAAAACATTACAACATCTTAAAGTGACATTTTTGAAAATCGCACACCTTTTAAAAAATCTTTCACACCAGTAATCACTTTCAAGTTTCCTTAATCACTAATTTTCTGATTATACAGCATGTATCAATAGAAATGGTCAATGGTGGAGGGCAGTGACAAAGTGTACTGGGAGGCTGAAGAGTTCAGCTGCAAATTCCCTCTGATGAATTTTCAACTTTCATGTAGCAACATTTACATCTGGGAAGATGAAGTCACCCGAGACCATCTTTGCATATCATATGGCAGCAAATAACAAGCACTCAATCAACCTCCATCCTTGGTTCTTCATCTATTACATTCTTCTATTCTAATTTTTCTGACCGATCGCCACTTGTAAACCTGATTAAGAGGCTCAGTTTGCTAATTCACGGCCATCCTATTTAACTTCCTGAACAACTCAAATGTTCAAGACTAATATAATACTGTAGAGGCCCTTTCTATTTCTATTTTATTTTTCCACTTTTTTGGTAGAAAGGAGAACTGAAGTTAGGGGTAGCTGGACTTTGAACAGCTGCATGTTTTGGAAGAGAAAAAGAACCAAGATGTTTGCTGTTGGAGACCAGCCTGGAAAATAGCGCAACTTATTTACTCATTTAAGGAAGACTCTGGACGATTCAGCATCAAGTATTGCTATGCCCAGGACTGCCAGCTGGTTGGACGTTGAGTTGGTCAATCAGGGGAGAGCATGTCCTACCCAACCAATCACAGAGATTACCAAAAGGCTGACTAGTTTTGGAAGCTTCAGAAATAAGTGAATATTTCTGGAAATATGTCTGTGAACAACTCCTTACACAAGGATTGAATAAAGACTTGGCTTTTTTTTATTCATTAATGGGATAAGGGCATCGCTGGCTAGGCAGCATTTATTGCCCATCCCGAATTGGCCAGAGGGCAGTTCAGAGGCAAGGACATTGCTGTGGGTCTGGAGTCACATGCAGGCCAGACCAGGTAAGGATGGCAGTTTCCCTCCCTAAAGGACATTAGTGAACCAGATGGGTTTTTCTGACAATCGACAATGCATTCATGGTCATTAAATTCTTAATTCCAGATATTTTATTGAATTCGAATTCAAATTCCACCATCTGCCGTGACAGGATTCAAACCCGGATCCCCAGAACATTATTTGGGTCTCTGGATTAACAGTCCAGCGATAATACCACTAGGCCATCGTCTCCATCCATTTTATACTATTTAATTGGACCGGCAAATTATTTTACTTTTTTAAAAATCATTTAACTGTGTCTGTCACAGTGTGTGGATTTAGGATCAAAGAAAATTGCATTTTAATCACAGATATTAATTAGACTATCTGGTTGTTTAGTTTTGTCCTGATAAAATTACAGTATGAGGAATCAATTATTAAACAAAAAACTTCAGTAATAAACTTAGTGTCCAAGATCTGACATTCATAATGTCTGATTAGGAACAACTGATAATTTTGAAGGTCACTGAATATTTTGACTTCACTGCATTGCAAATTCAGCAATAGTAATGCTGATTTCGTTTAGCTGGATATCCCCGGTTTTAACAACACCCACACCACAAACAATCACCTTAACATTTTTCTCCCAGTTTTGCAAGGAATCCTAGAAAAAGCTAATTTTCAAAATAGGAAACCACTCTACTTCCTCGTTTTCTATTACGACCTTAAACAGCCTCGGATCGAAATCAATACTCGTATTGTCACTTTCAGTTAAGCTTCTTTCTTATTTCTTAGAACAGGGCATCTACCAAAATATTGAAATCAGCTCAGAAAACTGCAGTACTTACCAAAATGCTACTGACAAGCAGCACTTCAAAGGTGGTGGGACCAAGATTAAACACCAAAGCACTCAGCACAAAACTGATACCTCTTGTCCCTCGATCTATGGCTTTTGAGAGTGCACCAGTCTGCCTGCTGAGATGGAAACTCAAATCTAAGTTGTGTAGGTGGAGGAAGACATTTTTGGCTATTCTCCTGATAGAACTTTGAGCTACTTTGCCAAAGACAGCATTCCTGAGTTCATTGAAGAATGCGGCACAAACCCTTGAAACACCATCTGCAAAGGAATTTTAGAAGAATCTAATTGCCTTTTCAAAACATATTTCATCATTTCAAAGTTAATTTCTTCATGAAGAAAATTAAACTTTTAATCAAACTGCAACACTGAACAATAAGTTATGACTGAAGTTACGTCTTTCTTACACATACGATGCATTAGCAAAAATACAGAACAATTATTTATTGATAGTTCAGCAAGTTGATGCACTGAAGGCTGAGCCATGCAGAATAAAAAGAACTCAAATTTCAACGACTAAAAAAAACTTAGTTGATCACAGTGGGACCATGAGGACAACATTACAAAACAGCCTCAATACTGGCTTTGGAAGGGGGTTGGAACAACTGTTTGACAGGTTTGCTGCTCTAACAAGCCCTAAAAAAACTATGGACGTTGATCAAGGAAAGTATGTAACTTAAGTATGATACAGCCTTGCATTGGAATAGACTGCCAATAGTCACCATTAAAATTCAGCTATGTATAAAGGATAACGAACACCAATTTGCAAGAAAGTAACTCAGCAGGTCAGTGCTCTCAAAACCATAAGATGTAGAAGTAAACCATTCAGTTAAAGTCTACGCCACTATTTAATGAGATCATGGCTGATTTGATAATTGATAACTCCATTTTCATTCCCTTTCCCTGTAACCCTTGATTCCCTTACTCATTAAACATGTAACTCTGCCTCGAATATACTTAATCCAGCCTTTAGAGCCCTCTGTAGTTCACTATCCTCAGAGAAACAATTCCCCCTCATCTGTCTTAAACGTGGGTCTCCTTACTCTGATATCACGCGCTATGGTCCTAGATTCTTCCAAAATGGAAACCTTTCCGCATCTTCCCTGTCAAGTCTAAGAATTTTGTATATTTCAATAAGGCTGCCTCGTTTTTCTGTATTCCAATGATTAAAGGCCTAACTTACTTAACTCTCCTCATAGAACTGTCCTCCCATACTTAGTATCAGACCAGTAAATGTTCGTTGGACATCAGGGGATCTAAGCTGTTCATAGTGCTAAGCTGTTCAGAAGTGCCTTTTATAGTTTTAGAAAAAACTCCCAACTTTTATACATCATTACCTTTGGAATAAAGACCAACATTCCAAGTGCCTTCCCAATTAACCACTGAACTTTGATACTAGCTATTGTGATTCATGCACAAAGACTCCCAAATTCCTCTTATAATTTTTTTGCAGTCTCTCTATTTAAATAATGTTCTTCTTGCCAAAGTGCATTACCCTTCAACTTTGTACATTATACTCCATTGCCCACGCACTTAATATATCCATATTCCACAATTGACTCTATATTCCTTATCAGTTGCCTTCTCACTTATTTTTATCTCATCTGCAAACTAGACTACATTCAGTTTCCTCATCCAAGTCATGAAGATATATTGGAAATAATTATGGCCCCAGCATGGAAACCGGTGGTACTTCTGATTGCAGGTTACCATCCTGAAAAAGCCCCCTTATCCCAACTGTCTGTCCTCTATTGATTATCTAATTCTCTATCGAAGCTAACTTGACTTAAGTGCCCTAATGTGTATTACCTTACTTTTCTGAAACTCCAAATATATTACATCTTCTGCTTCTGCTTTATCTATCCTGCTGGTTATTTCCCTAAATGATTATTCAACTTGAGAGGCATGATTATCCCTTCATGAAGCTGGGCTGACTGTTTAATTGTGTTATGTATTTCTAAATGCTACACTATTATATTCTTTATTCCAGACTTTTCCCCAATAACACACATTAAGCTAAGTGGTCTATTATTACTGTCCTTTGTCTCCTTGCCTTTTGAAATAAAGGTGTTACATTAATAGTTTTCCAATCCTCTGGGACTTTTTCCAGAATCTCAGGATCTTGGAAGATTACTACTAGTCCACCCAATATCTCCGTAGCTAATTCTTTTAATGTCTTGGGATGCAGGTCCAGGGAACTTACTGGTCTTTAGCCCGATTAGGTTCACTAGCACTTTTTCTACAGTGATACTTATTGCTTTTATTTCCTCTCCTCCTCTTGTCCCTTGATTATTTAGTAACATTGGAATGCTACCGGTGTCTTCTACTGAAGTGGAGGAAAAAAGTGACTAATGCAGTCAAGATGGTGTTATCAATTGCACGAGACACATTTGGCCTACTTTTTTGTGTTGATTCGCTATGAAAGAGAGTGATCACTACAAATTCAGACTATTAGAATGGTCTGTCCTTGAAATATATCCAATGCTGTACATGCTGTCTGCCATTTCTATTTTAATATTCAGTTTTAAATCCATTTTTGCCCGTAATCATTTGACAACTGAAAGCTTGCATAACCACAGAAAAACAGTATGGTAGTTGGCCTTATTCGAGAGCTCGTTCACAGATCCAGTACAAGCATGAAGAACTGAGTAACTGCTTTCTATGTTGTTTGATTCTATGACACCATTAGGGTTCCTATTGCAACAGCTAAATAAATGAGGCAATGAGTCATCATGAAGTAGATTGAAGGTCTGACCCTTTTATTTGTTTCAGCATACAAATTTAAAACCATAAATCTATTACCCTTTTAGGCTTAGTTTCCTGCCACATTATGTCTCATTTTTCATTGCAACAGAAGCTTGATTTACATATATTTTGATATAATCTGTAAACTCAAATCACTACAGTAAGAATCTAGTGCACATTGCATAAATTTATGCAAAGTGAAAAGAAAATTCTCTGCAATTCTCCTGCCAGAAACGTTTGCTACTCATTGCAACCTGCGCAGCAAGAAAGTCAACATCTGTCAAGCAAATTAAAATATTTTACTTACAGCCAATAAGGACAGCTGTTGCCATGGTGATGACTGTACTAGTTGCATCATTCAGGTTCAAAACACTACCTGACATTTGGTTGAGTTCATCTACTGCATATTTAAACATGAAGGGAACCATTATATTCATGAGCTGCAAAGACACAAGAACAAACATTACAAAAGGTTGAACACTATACCTAGTGAATAATTTGACTGATTTACAGCTTCCTGAATAAAGGTCCTAGAGGCACTTTCAAATGTCAAGCCCTTGGTGCTGTAAAAAGTTGGCAGTAAAAATTTAATTCATCGCAACATCTAATAGCTGGAAGCTGATGCCATTGCTCTACTGTATTTACATGTTTACTTTTCACAACAATGACAGCAACATTTATTTATTACAGTAAACAGTTGCACCTCAACATTTAATACATTCATAAAAATACAGTGCAGGTATATATAATTCTATTATTTTCTTATAAAAAACACCCACTTCCGATCAAACCAACATTACAGAATGGTGTAAGTACTCAAGTTTATTTCTAAAATCAGGCCAGGAATTGCAACCCACACCATCATACACATTGTAGCTTCTGCTAATGTCATTCTTCATCCAGCCAATAGAAGCTGCGCAAGGGCATTAGGTTGATTAGAGGCTAAGACGTCCCCCACTTCTTTCAGTGTCCATCCAAGCTTCAGAAGTCATATATAGCATGGCAGGCCAAATGGTCTCCGCCTGTGACTGCAAATCATTCTACACTCTAAGGAGATCAAAAAGCAGCAAGACAGCAAAAGAAAATTTGTGAACTTAACTGGCCCGCTCCATTTAAATCACAACAACTCAAAATGGCAACAGTGGACCTGTTTATTTTTAAAAAGTGCGCAGATATTTAATTCTGTAATGGTGCTAGAATAAATTAAACTTTATGCGGGGACAGAGGGCACAGATGAAGGAAAAGAACTCCATGTAATCATACACCTCAGATGCAGCCAGTGATTTGGTTGCCAGTAAACACAAACAGGTGACTGAATGATTCCCTTGCTATGTTTGCCGGATCATAGGTAGGATGTTGGTAGGATCTGAACAAAGCATAACATGACATAAAAAACAAAAATAAACATATTCTTGAGAGTACAGCCATGTCATTTGAGCAATGCAAAAATCGGAAAAATGTTTCTGATCAGATTTTCACAAGATATTTAGGAATTACCAGTTGCCACAGATCATTAGAGAAGTATTTGGAAAATAAATAAATGTTAACAAAAATTGGATAGGGCAAGTGAGAGACCATGAGTCATAGAATCCCTACAGTGCAGGAGGCGGCCATTTGGCCCATCAAGTCTGCACCAATCCACCAAACAGCACCCCAACCTTCACCCTCTCCCTGTAACCCTGCCTTTACCATGTCTAATCGACTCATCCTGCACATCCCTTCATACTACAGGCAGTTTAGGATGGCCAATCCACCTAACCTGCACACCTTTGAACTGTGGAAGGAAACCAGAACATCCAGCAGAAAACCATGCTGACATGGGGAGAACGTGCAAACTCCACACAGGCAGTCGCCTAAGGTTGGAATCGAACTCCTGTTGCTGGTGCTGTGAGGCAGCAGTGCCAACCAGTGTGCCGAAAGCCAGCATACACCCGTTGTACTGTATAGTTACTTCTGTATCGTAAATTTGTATGAAAATAAAACGTTTCTAACAAAAGTTAGCAGGAAAAGATAAACATAATGTAAAGGAAAGCATGGAAAACAAGTCACAGTACATCCTACAAAGGTTCAAATTACAATACTTGTTCCATGCAGCCAAAGGAAAACTCCATAAAGCCACAGTCCTCATCTTTTTAACCGATGACCACAGTCCCCAAAAAAACTCCTTGATCAAAGGCCACTCACAGAAGACGTTCAACACACTAGTGATTCAAGTGAGTCTATACCTCCAATTAGAAATGTAGCCAATTCCTAATTTTAGTTTCCTAGGACAACGGGCTATAGTTGAATGAAGGCTAGGTAATACCGGATAAAGAGAAAAAGAAGTTGTATTTTAAAGGAGATA